TGGCCAGGAGATGGCAAAGCGCAAGAGACCCCAATGCTTATTTTTGCATACAAGCTGCCCCATGACACCTGTCCTAGCACACAGGTGCATGCCATCATGTCACAGAGATTCTACAAGCAAGCTTTCTGGAATATTCATTGAACCAAACAAGAGCTTAGTGCAAAGTACTGGGCCACGTGCTGTCTTGCCTTGGAGAATAAGTATTTTCATGAAGGGTGCACAAAGGGCTAGCCTAGTCTCCCTAAGAATCTCTGCTGCCATCACTGCTGGCCCCACTGCCCACCACCATCATCCTGCCCCTCTCAACACCATGCGACCCTCTTTTCTGTGACCCCTTTCATGCTCAGCTGGCCACCTCTGACTTGTCTTCTGATTGAGCTGACAGCAGATATGGGCTCCCACAAAGATGTGCTGGGTCACGTGCGGCCCCATGCCCTCCCAGGTCTCTGTGGCCAGATGGAATGTCTGTGCTCCTTTTCCCCAGCCGAGCCTGGACCTGGGAACTGAGCTGTGCTCAGGAACTCTCCGTATTAAAGCTACTGTGAGATGTGTACTCACCTTCAAGGGTGTGCAACAATTCCAGGCACTGAAGCAAAACGAGAAATAATTTGTGTAAGCTCGAGGAGGTTGGAGGAAAACACGGATCATTTTAGGACCCATTAGTAGTTCAGCAAGGTGGGGGCAGAGGCACAAGCTGGAGGATTTCAGGGATTGAGGCTGGGGCATTTAAACAAGACCTCGAGGTGGGCGGCATCAGCCTTGTCCAGGAGTTTGTGTTTTCTCCTGAGGGTAGCTGGGAGCCACTGAAGATCTCACGGGGAGGAGGAAGAGGTGGCGTGATGAGATTCCCAATCTTCACAGACCATTTCGTCCAGAGTTAGGCCGATGGACTGGAGGCCACCTGACAGAATCTGCTGAGGCCTCTCTCATTATCTGGCCTCTAGCTCAGCTTATGCGAGTTTACCCTGGAGCGATCTGAGGGGGCCTTACTTTCACTGGCTGGGCTGGAGTGACTCTGATCACTCAGGGACACCCTCCTCTGCCTGCTCCAATATCACCAGGGATGAAGCTGGGTTCCTCCTACGTGGCAGTCCTCACCTTGTGGTGACCCCACTGGGTGTTCCCTGACATCTGGGAGAGAGAGGGCATGAGCGCCTGGGCAGCAATGGGGGCCACTCACTAGAGTGGAAGGGGGCGTGCAAACACCCAGGGTGACAGGGATCCCAGAACATCTCTTCCAAGCTACAAGTCAAAAGCTATTCTCTGGGCTCTAGAACATACTCACAGCCACCAGCCTGCAGGACAGGTGGGGCAGGTGCCACTGGAGGAAAGGGCTACTGTGTAAAAGAGACACTGAGTCTTGTCCCCTAAGGCGAGGCTGCAAGTGGGTAGCTGGAATTTCAGACAATTCTCCTTGAACTAGAGCTGCCTGTGCATTTTCCTTTCTGTGTCTTGTTCCTAGTTCTCTTCTCTCCTTACTCTATATTCATTCCTTCAGCGAGTTCCAGGGGCTGAAATACAGGCCATATGCTGACAGCTCCCACGTGTGGCTCCAGTCTTGGCCTCCCAGACGTCGGCCTGCTCACAGCCTCCACTCAGGTGCTCACAGGTATCTTAGACTCCGAGTGTCCAGAGCCAAATGTGGCACCGCCCAAATCTGCTGCTTTTTCCTGCCTTTAGAAAGTAAATAGCTACTACCCTAAATGTTTAGACCAGTGTTTTTCAACCTTTTTTAAATCTCACCGTGCACTTGAACCTAAACTCAAACTTCTGTGGCACACGTAAATTATGTTGATTTAAAAAAAAAAAAGAGTAAAAACCAGAATATATTTACTATGGCTTGAACTTCTTTTGAAAATAATTTCATTAATGATGTTTAAAAGTTTTTGTGGCTCACCGAAGACCCTCTCACAGCACACTGGTGCCCTGTGGCAACCCCGGTTAAAGACTTCTGGTTTAGGTCTAAGTCTAGAAACCATCCTCGATGCTGCCTCGCTCAAAGCCCCAGTCCAATCCATGATCAATCTTGGCTTTCCCTTCAATGTATATCCAGAAACTGGCCACTGCCCAGCCTCCCAGTGGACCACCTTGTGCCCTCCGGATCACTCCCTCCTCACTGGTACCTTAGTTCCTCTTTGGCTCGCTGGTGGCCTGTTGTAGACTCCGCAGCCAGAGTGCTCATTTAAAAACTCAGGTCATGTCAGGCTTTGCTCAAGTTTCTCTTGGCTTTCCATCTCAGCTGAAGAAAAAAATAAAGACCCTATGTGATCTGGTTCATGGAAACCTCTGACTCATCTCCTGCCTCTGTGCTCTCCACCCCCCTCCACCTCTTGCTCTTCTTCAAGGACAGCAACCAAGTCTCACCTCAGGACCTTTGCACACACCTTCCTCCCTGCCTGAGCTACCTTCCCTCAGATATTGGCATGGTTCAGTCCCTCACATCTTTCAGGTCACAGCACAAATGTCACCTTTTCAGGGAGGACTACTGACTGCCTTATATAATACAACTTAACCTCCTTACCTGGGTTCATTGTTATCCACGCACTTACTGTTCCCTGATTTAAATGCGATAAGCTAAATAACGCTATGGTAACAAATCCCAGACCTCAGTGGCTTATAATATAAAGAGCTAGCCCGCAGGGTGCTAGAGCCCCCTTGTCCTCGCTCCAGAGAACCAATTGTTGAGTTTTTAGGAAATTTGTTTTTACACATAGCCATTATTCATAGTTAAATTATATAAAGTGACAACTAACTACTTATATTTTAAAAGGCAATAATCATGGTGCACCACTTCTAATTTTACATTTTACTATTACATTAAAAATTATTATTCCTAAGTACTACTATCACCTCTGCATTTGCGGTTATTTCTGTCGTGTCTGTGTGGTGGAAATACAGTGCTGTGTGATGATTCGCTGCTGTGTGTTTTCTACCTAAGGCCTCCTCTGGAGGCGCCATATTGAAATGAGCCACATTGGGAGTATTTACACATCGCTGGAATCAGTAAATGCTACAAATCAGGGTTTGATTTATTTTTTCTTTAGCGCTTGTCTAGACTTATGAAAGTAATGGGGAAAATATTTTATGATGCAGATTAAACTTAAAAGTGTGCTGTGTCTGCAGCTGTTCCACTGTGAACAGCAGAAAAAAAAAATCGAGGCCTTATTCTTTTCGTGTTCAAAAACTTATGCTCGATCCCACAAAGAAGTCGCTCCCACCGTAAATGAATGAGTGAAGTTCAGACCATATGTCTTCATTGTTTCATCGTATTTACATAACTGAACCTATCAAGCAACATTCGGGTTGGAACTATACTCGTCTGTGAACTGGAACCAAAAGATGATTATGGATACAAGACTTCAGCAAAAATGAACCTGAGCACTCTGTATCTGTTGGAGATAAGTGCCATTTCAATATAGGATACTGTATATTTTATTTTCTATAAATTGCATCCTTTAAATCAGTGACGTTTATAATAAATACACACATACGTTGCCTCTCCTCCTCCCCAGTGCTTAACAGCCAGCTCTCCACTGGCTTTCTCCCTAATGCAACCTGTGTGTCCACTGTGGGCCAGTTCATGTCCCTCACTCTGGGCCCTGGTAATGGCTCTTCCACCACCCGAATGGCTGCTGATTGCCACATCGAAGGCTCTGCCTGGAAGGGACACGCATCACTTCTGCTCACGTTCCCTTGGCAGAAGCCAGTCACACGGCCATGCCTCCCTTCATGTGTGCAGAGAAGTGCAATCCTACCACGTGCCTGGAAAGAGCACAAGGGGAACTGGGAAAGGCCTGGCCCAGCGTATTAGGTGTTTATATGTTGACTGTCTGGCCCACTCCCCTATTTAAATGTAACTTCCACGAGGGGGACACCACCTTGTTCACTGCTGTATTCCCAGCACCTTCGACATAACAGCTACTGAGCGGCTCAGCAGAAACTGAAGGGACAAAGGCTCTGGATGCAGCTCCCCAGATCAAAGGAGACGGTCATCATTTTGCATTTTCTCCAAATCTTGATAAGCAATGTGATTTGGCCTCTGTCTCCCCCAACCTCCCTGCACATGCAGCTGGAGATCTGTGGCCGAGGAAATGACAGGCTTGCACGAGGGCTCTGATGAGCCCCCGCGGACACAGAATTAGGAAGGCATCACCCTCCCGGTTCTTGCATGGGCAGGGTAGGCCTGAGAGTGGGCCTCTCCTTGTTTTGGGCTCTGGGAGTTACCTTAGTTGTGGCCCTGAGCCACGTGTCCTCCACGAGCTCCCTGTAGCTTCAACAATAACCCCAATTCTAGCAGCTGCTTCTTCCAGACAATAGGCTGACATCGGGTTATGCAAGAGGACTCTGAGCTGAGTTCTCTTCATTCTTTGTCTAGCTCAGACCCTGTGATAAATTCTAGGGTTGAATGACGGCTCCAGGTGCTGAGAGGTAGGGCTAAGTGATGGAGGGAAGCGCTGGGTATTGTAGAGTGAGCCTCATGGTCTTACTGTCCACATCCTGGAACTCAGGTGTTGGCTGTCATCGGCTGTATGGATTTGGTGGTGTGACACACCTGGGTTGCCAACAGCGCTAATTCCCACTGTTCCACTGATGGAGTACCTACTATGTGCCAGGAAAGCACCACACTAGGGCTTCACGTAGTGTGTCTTTCATCAATCTGCAACTTAGCTCTACTCACTTGGTATTCCTTATCTATCAGAAAAGGAAATTGAGTCTCAGGGAGATGAAGTGACCCTTTCAAGGTCAATCAGGGGCTGGCAGGACTAGGAAATCTGTCTGAATCTGATGTCTGACCCTTATAAACTAGGACTTCTCTACCCACCTGCGAGGCTGATGAAATAAAATAGAAACCATCCTTCAGGGAACATGAAATGAAGACCCTAGGACTTAACTAACCTTGTTCACAAGGTTACAAAAAAAATGGCACAGCCGTGTCCACGTTTGATTCACGTAACAGACTCACTGAATAGAAATAAATCCCGGGCTGACCATCAGAGTATTTTTTTCTTTTGATTTTTATTGAACACAAGTATTCTGACAGAATGCAAAGTCAAAATTCTCAGTTAGTACTCAGTATTTACACCAGTGAGAATGGAAACAAAGGTGGTACTGATGTTTCACTTGGTAAAAAGTTTTATAACAAGAGAGAAGGCCCCCAAAGTACAGAATGCTGGGTAGGGATGTTAAGGGAGGTTTGAAACCACCATCCGGACAGACAGCCTAGAGTGAGAACCTGGGACTTGGAAGGCTCCATAGAAAAGTGTGAAAATACAGTTCCCCTTCAGAAGCTGCACTATGTACACCACCGCCCTTCAGGGTCGGGAGGCCCTGGGGGGCGCATTTGTGGCCCCTCTAGCTGAACTTGGCCATGCCGGTCTTTATGTGAATACATATGTATGGCACATACACATATAGACACATAGACACTGGAAACTAGTGGAGTTGATCCCTCCTTCCAAAAATTAAAAAAGGAAGATTATAAGCTTTTATCTCTTAACATAAAAGATAGAACATTTTGAAAATAAAATGACTCCCTCTTTTGATTTTTGAGAAAGTATTGTGGATTTTTTTGTTTGTTTTGTTTCGTTATTTTTTAAAAAGGAAAACTCATGCAGGCGGAGATAAACCTTTGTGTCAAGGGAGAGAGGGAGACCCAAGTGTGGGTGGAGTCTTGGGTTCCAGCTAACGGTGGAGCCGGGGTTCTGGGGGCTCAGCTGCCCTGGGCCAGGTTGTCCGAGGGCTGACTATACCTCTGTCTCTTCCTAACCGTCAGAACCAGAATCAGTTTGCCTAACCACAGCCACCTGGAATGCGCTGCACAGTCTTGATGAGGTCTGGCCTGGTTGGTCAAAGCCATCACCATCATTAAGATGAGGGACCGGTTCCACTGTACAGAAGAGCCCGCCGCTCACTGCTGGGCCTTCCCTGTCTCTCATGTTCTGCTGTGTTCCCTAAGATCTGTCTTCCTGGTGCCTTTTCCTGAGGGCCTGTGCCTTAGGAAGGCGAATCTGCACAGGTCCTAGAATCAAAGGGGCCAGGGCTGTGTATTCTGGAATCCTCCATTTCCATCCCCAGGAGCTGAGAAAATGCAAAATAACCCCACATTTAGCAAATGACAAGACCATTGTGTTTCACAGTTTGAAATTATAACCTAGCATCTCCACTGATCAGACTGCAGAAGTGTCAGAACCTTGGGGAGTGTGGCCCTCGGAATGGCCTCAGGAGCAGTCTTGCCACTCTAACCTCTTGCTGCTGTGTACCTTAGGAAAGGAACGGATGCCAGAGTACCGATGTCTGCTTACTTAGTGTCATCACCATCATCATTTGTATTTCGTGTTCTTTATTTAAAGGCTTCGATTCCTTTTAAGAGTTATTTTTTGTTTCCTGAATATTTTTCTGAACTATCTGCTATACCTTCCACAACCAAACTATGTTGAAGTTTTATTTCAATACTATGACAAAAACACGTTTCACACTAAAATAGTCACGCATCCACAGTGCACAAGCTTGCAGTTCTAAAGTAGAATGAGAAAAAAAAGCAAAATTTCTATACAAAGGGCTGGCTTTTCCCTTCTCCCCCCTCCCATCCCCCTTAAAAGTTTCTGTATTTTTTTTTCCCCCCACTTGGTTTCCAATCCAGGAAAGTTGTGTTATGACTCCAGACAGGTTGCTTTTTTCTTTTTTCTTTTGTTTCTATAAATGCTGCCTAAGTGAACAGAAGGCCGATGTTACTTTACTTCAACAGATTTCCAAAAAAAGACACTAATTCCCTGAAGCACACGTGGTCTTCCGCTCAAATCTAGATTCTGGGCTCAAAAGGAAATGGGATGTGTGTGTTTTATTTGGCTTTCTACGCAAAAGGGGATGTTTGGGGTAAAAATGTGTGATCACCAAGACCAGCCCCAACTATACAATCTTCTCCGCTTCATTCAACAAAGCCTAAGGAGTCCTTCAGAAGGAAGGGGGTGAGGACGCCTTTTTCACACATGCAGGCAGGTGGCGGCTAATGGGGAAGTGGTCTAACCCCCAAAGGAACAACAACAACAAAAAGAACCAAAAATCTAAAGCAAAACCAGCGTGGAACGAGATGGATTTTCACCTGAGCTGGACGCAGGCAAAAACCGCAGATCAGGATGGGGGAAGAGCCACTGTAAACAGTTTACAAGGCTGTCCTAAAGCAAGCCCGAGATGATCCCACCTACCTCCAGGCGGTGTTTGTTAGGTGTATTCAAAACCAAAAAGGCAGCTGTTTCACACCCAACAGTTCAACACAACTGAAGTCAAACATTTGTCAAATTGTAAACACTGAAAACAAAGTTGGCAGAAAGAAAAAGGAAAAAAAAAAAGAAAGAAAGAAAGAAAAAAAACCCAAGAAGTCTGAATACTGCAAATTGAGATCTACCCCCAGAAGCTGCAATTTGGCATTCTTCCTACAAAACGAGAGTCTACGTGGGAACTGAATTCAGCTAGAAAGGGTGGCACACTTTGCATACTGAACAAATACAAAGTGAACAGAAATTATAACTTACTTATGAGGTTTTACAGAGTTCGAACTCGACTGAAAGTATAAAAATAAACTGTGGACTTTGTTCATTCGGTCTGTCTTAGTGCCTGAAAGTACTTCTCTGAAACTGGTCTGTGCCAATTGAGTAACACCAAGTGTGGTCTTCCTGAACCTAGATCTTTTTTTTTTTTTTTCTTTTCTGAGCTTCCTAGATTCTTAATTCGGGGTCCTTTTGTTTGATTCCTAAATGGTTTCAGGGAACGGAGTGTCCTAGTTTGGCTGTGGGTTTAACCTTTTTGTCTCATTTTCTTACAAGTGAGTGCGCAACAGAGGAACCCTTTCTATAGACCTACAAAAAGGGGATCCCGTGTTTATCTGTTTAGTTTTTTTTTTTTTTTTAAAGGCAAAAGACGCTAGAGGAATGAGATGTGTCTGTGTGTGCGTGTGTGTGTCCGTGTGATATTGGAAATGCTCTGGTGAAGCTGCTGTGTCACTTTTTGTTTTGCTCTTTGCTCGGTTCCCGTCACCCATCATGCTTTGCTCTCGTTCTCCTTTGTCTGTGTGGCGTCGTTGGGGACCGTCTTGACTTCGGCTGGCGCTGGCTTTGTCTCTGTCTCCTGGGACTCCGACTTTGCTTCTACAGGGCCTTTCCTGCGGAGAATCAGGGAAACAGCACCACTGAGACCATGGTCTGCAGACAAGTCACCCCTTGAGTCTGGCCCTGGAGGGAGGGAGGCCCCACAAGCTCTGGTCTCCAGAGTGCATGTCACAATGACCCGGGAGCTCCCCAAATCTCCCAAACCTGGGCCATGTTCCCAGAAATCCTGGTTTCATTGGTCTGGACGGGGTGACGTCTACAGGTACTTGAGTGATTCTACTGTGCAGCCAGAGTTGAGAAGCCCTGAGTCGGAACAAGTCCTCTCCTATCCCAGCCCTAGATCGACAGCGGGGGCTCTGCTTTTACGGGCGTGTTGGAAGAGGGGAGCAGAGGCAGCCTCCTCCTCCCCCTGACCGGCCACTGTGGCAGCAGCGGGGTTGATACAGAAGAAGCATCTCGGGCTGGGCTCCCAGAATGATTCAGGGGCCCTTTGGGAGTGGCCAGCTCCTGCCTGTCCCTCCCTCGCCCTGAGCTCTGTATTTCAAAGTGCTGCCCCTATGGCTTGGCTGGGTAAGGTGGGAGACTCTGTTGCTGAGGCAACTTTCCATGGGAGCCTGGGGAGAGGCTGCAGTGGGCCTGCACGCTATGTGGGAGTGGAGAGCAGTTGTGTGGGCAGGGTATCAGAATCCTTTTGCCTCCCGATGCTGAGATTCAGGGCTTCCTATGAGAACCCTTGTGGCTCTTGGTGGCAGCCCAGCAGCATATCTGAGGGGCACCCCTAGGACCTCTATAAAAACCAGGGTCTGATGCTGCCTCCATTAGTCCCAGAAGAGAGTTGGGTCTGAGGCTGCTCAGGGCAGGTGGAGAGCCCAGCCTCCACTGGGGCGGGCGGAGAGCCCAGTCTCTACTGGGGCGGGCGGAGAGCCCAGTCTCTACTGGGGCGGGTGGAGAGCCCAGCCTCCACTGGGGTGGGCGGAGAGCCCAGTCTCTACTGGGGTGGGTGGAGAGCCCAGCCTCCACTGGGGTGGGTGGAGAGCCCAGTCTCCAGTGGGGCAGGTGGAGAGCCCAGCCCCCACTGGGGCGGGTAGAGAGCCCAGTCTCTACTGGGGTGGGTGGAGAGCCCAGTCTCTACTGGGGCGGGTGGACAGCCCAGTCTCTACTGGGGTGGGTGGAGAGCCCAGCCCCCACTGGGGCGGGTGGAGAGCCCAGTCTCCAGTGGGGCAGGTGGAGAGTCCAGCTTCTACTGCCGTGGGTGCCACTTCACTTTGGCATTGCACTTCAGAAACCTGAAAGGTTAAGGACTTTCCCTCCATCTTACAGACCTCCCAGCCATCCGGTGCTCAGGAGCCCTCATCTTCCCAGGCACTCTAAGGGGAGGGTGGCCATCTCAACCAGCGTGTGATGGGACCTTAGGGCCTGCCTCTTTCCTCCCTGCACAGTGGTGCCTTTCTGGGAGAACTCGGCCTGGCCCTGGATAGCCACCGACTGGGGCCCTGGGGTGGCTGATGAGGGCACCTTAGCCTCCTTCACTGGCTTCCCAGGTATCCTCACCAATGGCCCAACTGCAAGGGCTCCCCCAGGGAAAACAGAAGCTGCTGCTAGGATGATAAGGACAAATTATAATTAACATGGCCTAATTAGTGAACAGACGGCTGCTCGCTGGGGCCCGGCTGCCTGTCCCCTGCTCTCTCTGCCTCACCCCGCCCCTTGGTTGAGTTGACAGTTGCCTCAGAGAAGCCCTGGATGAGGCTGAAGACACATCTAACAAGGAGGACACAGCACAGCACAAACGCACACCACCACGGGACACAACAGGACGACAGCAGACACAGAGAGGCCGTACTCGGTCTTTGCTGGCGCAGGCGAGACAGAGCTATCTGCAGTGGAAGGAGCAAGCTCAGGGGCTTGTCCACTGGCCCCAGCGGCGGGAGCAGGAGAGCCCAGGGCTGCAAAAACATCCTTTGCAAGGTCAATATCTGGGGTCTTGAAGTTCCCTTCGTCCATTTTAAAGTCCTCGCCCTGGGAAGGGTTTGTGGCGCTGGCGGAGGCAGCCTCGCTCTTCGGGCTAGCGAGGGCTGTGGCTGCCTCGGCAGGGCTCTTCGCGGCGCCGGGCTGGGTGGGCTCCGGGTCCGGGCCTTTGGTGCTGGGAGCCTCCTGCTTGGCCTGGGGGGCTTCTGTGGCAGGGGCAGCCGCTGCTGCTGCTAGAGGACTGGCTGCCCCTGCTGGGGTGGGGACTGGCATGGGGGCCGGCTTACTGGCCGGAGGGGCCTTGGAGGCCTCCCCCGCACTCGCAGGGGCGCTTGGGCTGAGGACAGCCCCCTGGTTAGCCAGGACACTAGAAGACAAATTGCTAGTGGCAGGGGCTGAGGTTGGGGTGTCGCTCAGATCAACAAGGGGGGCGACCTTGGGGGCTGACGCTGGGGAAGGGGAGGAGGCAGACACGCCGGGCCCCTTGGAAGGGGTGGCATGGCCAGCGGGCACAGAGTTTGATTCAGGTGTGGCCGTGGCTGGTGGGGCAATACTGGAGGTCAGGGTGGTGGTCTCACTGGTGGGGCTGTTCTGAGCAGTGGCAAAAGTTTCGGTGATAGTGTCAGAGTTAGTGGTCACGGTGGTGACAGAAGGCAGCATGTCCTCGACAGTGGCTGTGGTGTCGGCAGGCAGCCTGTGGGGAGGACAGGAAGTAGAAGAGAATAGACGATGAAGCTGAGACGTGACAGAGAAGCAGGGGAGAAGGGCTGAAGCCAAGGAGAGGGTGGGGGGTGGGCATGCAGTCAGGCACAGGCACGAACACAGGCCTACAGAGAGACGAGGATGCTGAGAGGAAGCACGTGCCCAGGTGGGCAGAGAGGACACAGGAGACACAGAGAACATGGCGGTCTCAAAAGGGACCTGCTCGCCCTTCCTCCTGCTGACGTTCCTCCAGCTCTCTGCACAGGGCTCCCTTCCCCTACAGACCTGTCTGGGGCTTTCTCATCCCTGCCCTGGGCCTTGACTAAAGGGCAGGCTGGCTGTTCAGTTCAGCGTCCACCTGCTCTGAGCTTCGTGGCTCCTAGAGGAACTGGGCCCAGCCTACCCCTCAGCAGTCTCCAGGGCAGAGATGGGAGCAATCAGGAACAAGGCAGATGAATTCTCAGAATGGCTCCTGAGAGCTGTGGGTTCTTCCAGCCACAGATTTTGTGGTCCCGTGAAGCTCCATTCCCTCCAAACCCAGGGGATCCTTGACAGCCAGGCTGGAATTACAATCACAGCTGGTCAGGGGCTTTGTGGGTCCCCAAAGTTTCTGAGCAGAGAAGGACCAGGGAGCTTTATCAGATCCCCAACTTCCCTCATCCTTTTAGGAAGAAAACAGAAAACTCTAGAATTCCAAGAAATCCTAAACAGAATTAGCTAAGCCTCATTCAGTGAGGTCTTGCCCTCTTAAGCCCTTTACAGAGCATGTGTGTAACTTGAGAACAGGGTGGGATTCCCATTTACATCCTTTAAGTGCACCCATGGCCAGCCCAGATAGAACCCAGAAAGCCTTCTCTCTAAGGAGAGTGGGGTCAGGCATTTCTTAGCCAAATGGGTCTTCTGGCCATGGGCTCTGGAATCCAGGCCTGCATTGCTTGGCTGGGAGCTGTGGGTGAGGATGGAAGGTGGGGGTAGGGTGGTGAGGTAGGCATGGGGGTCTGTACTGAGGAGGTGCCACCCCTCCCGCCCACGTACTCGGGCTCCGTCAGTGGCGTGGTCTCGTTGGGCTCTGTGTGTTTCCCTCCGTCATGGTTCGGGGTCCGCTCCTCCTCGGTCCGAACCTCCACGATAGGCTCCTTGGACTCGTCTTTCCTGTGGAGAGAGTCCTGCTGGTTAATCCCAGGGCAGCTGTGGGAAGAGACTCCCCATGGAAGGCAGCTGTGGCCCAGGGTAGCTGGGCCTGGTCCAAGGCTGGCAGTGTGGGCATCGAGAGCCATCAGATTCAAGCATCTGAATCTCCACCTAACTCTTGCCAACTGTGTGACCCTGAGCATCTGGTTTAATCACCCTTGCCTTATTTTCTCACTTATAAAAATGGGGTAAATAACAGCATAACCCCAATCTAGTTATTACGAGAATTAAATGAGCAGGCTTAGCACAGAGTCTGGCACAGGTAACTGCTCACACACACACACATGTTCTAAGTATGCACGTGTAGGCCCGTGAACATGTATGTTTATACAGAGCCCGGCGTGGGATGGTGCTAAGCAAACTGATTGCTTTGCTCTGTCCCTTTTTGACTCGCTCCAGCTCAGACCAGCCAGTGATGGTTTTACAAGCTCCTGCGAACTGGCTCTGGATCCACTGCTCCACAGATGCTGCTGGACGAGGTAACAGCTGGATCCTTAGCTCTGTGAGGTCCAGAATTTCTACTTGCTTTGTTTCCTGTTGTACCTAAGGGACTAGGAATGGGGCCCTGCTCATAGTGGCTGCTTGATAAACATTTGCTGATAATGTATGAATGAAGAAACAAAATGAATGAATGGAAGCATGGGCAGTGTGTCCCTTGAATGCCAGCTCCTCCCTTGCAGCGCCCCTCCAGGCTGAGCTCTGACAACTCCCCTCACCTTGAGCAATGCGGGGGGCCTTCACACTCTGGTGAGTTCCTACTACCCTAGACTTGGGTAGGGCCCCAAAGTCTATTTTTCAAAGAGGTAACCGCCAATGACCATGCTTTGAGAAACTTTTCTCTAATGTTATTTTCCCTCTCAAGTTTCTAAACGGGGAAAGTGAGGCTGAAGGCAATGTCACTGCAGGGACCAGCTGATGGCCCACAGAGGGCACCCTGGGCGGGGGCAGAGCCCAGACCTTGGCAGGGTGGGCGCGTGTGCACTCACGAGAAAGCAGCTTTGCCCTCCTCCATGTCCTTGCCCTTGGCTCCGGGCCCGGCTTTCCCGCACAGATTGACAGCAATGCACATTAGCAGGCCACACTTGTTCAGGAAGTAGCAGGTGATGTCCACGACCACCAGGAGCAGGACAAAGATGACGATGAGGATGCCCACAATGGCCCCTGTGCTCAGGCCTGACGTGGGACTGCCATTGGCTTGAGGGGGAGAGAGACAACTGGTGGTTAACAGACTAATAAGATGTGAGACCCCTAGACCCTGTGAGTGGCAGCCCCTGGGGTGGGTAGGACCCGTGAGACAGTCATGGCATTCTTGTCCAGAGTGTCTCCTTCCTTGGGCCCTTTTATGCCCCAGTGTTGTGGCAATAAGGCCTCTCCATATCTTCCAGAGATAGGGGCAACAGCTTCATCTCATACACCTGGGGATGGGGGCTGCCACCCTCAGATTCACTCCCAGTTGGCCTCCGGGAAGTTCTGGAAGCAGGCCAAACCCCACCAGCCAGTGTCTACAGACACTGGGTAACGAATTGGAGGGCACTGCTGTGTTTCCCGGGATCAAGGCACAAGCTTTGCAGAGCAAACAGGCTGTGGTCACTGGTTTCCCATGGAGCTGAGGCCCCTGGAACAGTCAGGCACAGGGTCTTGAGGGGGTGGCCAAGAGCTCTTAGGGCTTTCTCGAAGATCATGGGGACATCAGACATAAAGGATGCCCAATTTTCTACTTTCTCTCCCCCTCTAAGGAATGACCCCAAAGGGGCCTGACACTGGATCACTTTGGGTTCATGGTACCCTCCTTTGCTGTTCTCCAGGGAGACGAATGAAGCCCACATGCCCCTGGAGACGTGGAGGCCTCCCCAGGCCCAGTGGACAAGGTAAGAGGTCTGGGAATACTCACCATCTGAGAGCTCGGGCCTGCCTGGGTCAGGCTTCAGGAGAACCAGCAGACACACCCAGAGGCGCATACCCACCAGACAGGCACGCTCACATCAGGACACACGCCCACACGGACAGACATACGCTCTTACATTCACTATCTCCAAGCACCTTGGTTCTGGCTGGGCTCACTCTGCAGGACTCAGCCTGTGTCTTTCTCCCCAGGGGCCTGTCTACGATCCCACAAGGACATGGGCTGTTGACGGTGTCACAGAAGGACCCGGGCTCAGTTCCCTGGGGCCTGGGAGCTCACTGAATGCTCAAGATCTACATTAGTTGGCCGGGATCAATCTGAATCTGTCAACTCCCTAGTGGTTCCCACTAGAGTGTGGGAGACGAGTGGTCACGCTGCCTGAAGCTCCAGATGGAGCTCTGTCTATAGGTCAGTGTGGGAACAATGGCACTGGACTGCCAATGGTGGGGAGGGACCTGGTTCCAGGACTGGCAGCCCTGCCTCCCCACTAGACCTTGTCTGAAGCCTGCGGTGCTCTGAGGGCCCACTGAGGTCACCCGAATCTGTGGTTCAGCCCCAGCACATCTCACTAGACTTTACTGAGTGCCCCATCAGATAACGGAACAAACGTGTAACCCAGGATAACTGACACCATAGGTGGGTCACGCAATCTTCGTCTTTCACATAGCCTCTATGGGGTGGCGGTGGGGTGACTCCTCTGTTTGCCCCAGGGGTCTCTGCCAAGGCACTGTTGTCCCATTCCACTGGCCCTTATTTCAAACTTCAGTTCAGGATACGGGTCACCGACCCGACCCAGCACACCAGAAATTCCCCAGCCTATTCCTTAGCACACTAGGCACGGCCAGGCCTGAGCAAGAGACTCCCAGTTCACGTGTACTTTGGGCCCTTTGGGACTCTGGCCTTCTCCCCGGCCTTCCCTCCTCAGGCTCTCTGGCTGGTCCCTTCCAACCCTGCACTGAAGACCCTAGTCCATTCCCCCGTGATGGCCGGAGACTGGCAGAGGGCTCTGTGCCCAGATGGCTGATGCCTGGGCTGTGGCCTCTGGATCCCACTGTCAGCTAAACTGGTTCATCTTGTTAGCAGCCCTAACACAGAGGCACTTCTGGTAGGTCACATGAGCACAAAACCATCCTTGCACTTGCCCACGGTCCTCACACATTCCACCCGCAAGGAAAAGAAAGAGACGCAGGCCTCCTGATCTTCGGGACCTTCACACTGCTCCCCCGATGAGGGAGGAGACTCTGGCCTTCGGTTTTCTCTCCATTGCATGACAGTGGGCTTGAGGACACTGAGGCCTCCTGACGCCAGCATGGACAGGCGTGAAGCACCCACTTCCTGAAGGAGGGGCTGGGAGCATTTTTTTCTTTTTTTTTTCTTTTGGTGGTGGGATATGTCTGTATTTTTGGACTCCATGGCATTAATCTTACATTCTGAGGTCTATGCATAAAGAGGGTTTTGTGGAGCTAATTATACATCTACAGAGGAAGAATAAACACCTGCAAAGCTGCCCTGTGTGCAGGAGGGAACGGCAGCTGGGGCATCTTCTGCCTTGGGCTCATCGGCCCCAGTGGAGGGCCGCACAGGTTCTGAGCACACTCAGGGAGGCCCAGGAGGGCAGAAAAGGTCTGAAATCCAGCAAGCACCGGAGGTGGGGCAGTTGTCTCTCCTGTCTCCTGGCCTCAGGGGTCCTACGGGGGCTGTGGACTCTGCCTACTCCTCTGTCACAACTCACGGCACCAACCAGCCGCCTTCCTTCCGCCTGCGAAATACACAGGCCCTTCTGCTCCTCGGGGCTCGCCCTGAGTCTCTGCAGGAAACTCTCCCTCCTGAGTGTTTCAAGGGTGGCTCTTTGTCATCGTAGGCCTCAGTCCCAATGTCACCTTGTCACTGTGGCCTCCCCAATCTCTTATCTAGTGAGCTGCCATGTTACTGTGTTCATCCTTCTTACCATTATCTGCCACTTTACATTCACTTACATGCTCAGGTTCTGGCCTCCAGAACATCCTGGCAGGCTCCCTTGCCCTCTCGTAACATCTCCCCAGCACCAAGGACAACCCTGACTCACAGAAAAATATCCAAAGAATGTCTGTTGCACAAATAGATGAGTGTATCGCTTAGAGATGAGAATGCTGTTTCCAAATACAGTGACCACCTAAAGGACTGTATTAGTCAACGTATGGTGGTCAACAGAAGGGACCAGGCCTACTGTACTGATACATACATGTGGTGCATGTCCAGTCTATGAAAATTAGGTCAACTTAAGGAGATGGGATAGACAGGTGGTCAACTCTGGAGCTTCTACTGTATTTAAAAGTGTGTCATGAGAAGGACGCAGGAGCCTTAGTCTGTATGGCACCAGCATGGAGAGATTACAGGGGTGGGACAGGTTTTAGTGCCTTATGAGAAAGGACTAACAGACAGAGCTCTTCAAACATAGTGTGGCTGCCCAGTTGGGAGGTGAACTCCCTATTGCTGGCAGCATTCGCACAGAGGCTGGACAATCCCTTAGCAGGGATGCTATAATTCTCTGATGAGGTCCCTACACTAGGTGGGGCTTATGTAGAAGACGGCTTCAAGTCCTGTTCAACCACAGAGCCTGACCTTCCACGGTACCTGACACAGGGGACAGATTCCTTAATGCCAGTTTTCTCCACTGTGTGGACTGAGGACTATTTCCTGGAAAATGAAAATGCTTAATGGGTCCCATCTTAATCATTGATCCTTGTGATTTTATTTTTACATGGAAAATAAGTATCTTTTAACTCAATGTGTCTCCATCTGCAGTGGAATTCCCAGGAATGTTTTGTTAAACATTGAGAACCAGGGGCTCCCAGGTCTATGGAATTTGAATTGCTGGGGTTGAGGCTCAGGAGTCAGGATTTGAACAAGCACCCCAGATATTTGTATGAAGACTGCTGTTCTCAGGTCTTCCCTGCCTTGCATTACATGGAGAAATGGCTGAAACTATAACCTCACTGCCAAGGATAAGGTGTGCCATCTTGCCAGTAAACATGACAAAAAAAAACTTGACCTTATTAGCTGGAAGGAGACCTTGACCTCATTAGCTGGAAGGAGAGAAATCCAAGATCATCCCCTCCTAAGGAAAAGGGGCCACAATGTCCTCCACTGCTAAGAGCTAGATGCCCGAAGCAAGTGAGGTCTCCTCAAGCTGGAGGGAGAATGTCTATTGTTTATACAAAACAAGGCTGGAAAGAAGGGACAGGTTGGGGGCACACAAAAGGGCTTCAAAAGCAAGCCCTCTTGGTGGATGCTATAGAATTATTTAGTTCAGGAAAGCTAGAAGGACAATAGCTAGCTCCTGCATCTTATGTCACATTTTACCAAAGAAAAATTAAAAAACAAAAAACCTCTGGGGTCCTTTCCGTGCCATGATCGTCCCCCAAGCACCCTTGACTAACTCACCCGTGCACCTTGCATGCAAAGAAGGCTTCCTGGGAGCAGCTCCTCCATAACCTCCAAGGCCAGAGCTTCCCTGAACACTGAGATTATGAAGCCGGAGTTGTCCATCTTCTGTGGTTCCTGGCTTGGGGAGGGATGGCCCTAAAGAGGAAACTGGCTTGCTCCAAGAATAAGATCCACATATGCCCACTTTCTTGTGCCATACATTGGGAACATGTGTCTGGCATTTGACAGACGGCCTGACGGGCCTCAGTCCTTGTGTCACAAGACCCAGGTAGAGCAGACATGCTTTCCCCACCCCAATTCCCCTCTAGGACTGTCATCTCTTAGATTTGGGGTTTCGGTTCAACTCATAACCCCCTGACACATCTGCTTGCCCCTTCCTGGAATCAGCCAAATAGACGGCTGGTCTCAGGGGCTTGCAGGAAGTATGTGACTAAGTGTGATCACAGACAGAATAAGGTTGCCAAGAGAAGCTTCTCTCCATCCCAAGCACACTGTGTGCAGCCTCACTTAGGGAGAGTAGAGTTGCTGTGCAACTGAGTGACCCTGCCACCGAGCCATGTGGCTCCACCCCCGTCGTGGCCACCTCCCCACTTCTGCAAAGGCACCTTCCTCTCCCGCTGCCTGCTGGGGACTCCCAGGTGGCGATGACCCACAAAAGCTCTCAGGATAGCTGACAAAAACACACTTCTCCTCATTAGGGAGAAAAAGCATTGCCTTTGGTAAGAACTCGATTTGTCAGGCTGGGGACTTGAGGTACAATCTGGATGTCTCTCTAGGTAATAAGTTATCCAGGCACCTGTGAGGTGGCTTTCGATACTCCGTGGGTCACAACTATCAAATAAAATCCAACACGCTCGTGAGTTCGCATGAACTGTTATTTCCTTTAATAATGCAAAGATGTAAACTCCACAAAGGCCTCGCTGATTACCTAGACAACAGTGTTAGCGTTCTTATTAGTAGAAAAACGTGATCCAAACCTGCCGTATAAATATTTCAAAAATGAACAGAGGAGCCCCGAGGCGTGTGGTGTGGGCAGCACTAATACAGGGCACAGAGTGAGGTGGGGCGGCTGGGCAAGGTGGGGCGCTCTCACTCCTGCAGGGGCTGGGAGGGCTGCTACCTTCTGGGCTCCTGGTGGGCTGCGGCCTGCAGCCTTTGCTGGGAATTCAGGCTCCAGTGGGAGTGGGTGTGCACTAACGCTGTCTCTAGGAGGACACACTTCCCTCTAGGGGAGGTATGGGTCTGTGGGTCTGTCCAAATGTGCCCATTCCGGTGGCCCCAAAGTGTTTCAGCTGAGGCCTCCTTAGCCCTGGGACAGCTGAGGGGACAAGGCCATATCAGTCCTCTCCAACTCAGGACCAGATCTCCAAAAGGTCCCTTCAGAAACACTGACACTGTCCCTCTCATGTGGGTGGTCCTGGGACCAGGGGAAGCAGACTTGTGAGCTGAGCACTCCCAGGGTGAACCCATGTGGCTTCTGCCCAAGGCGATTACAGGTGGAGAGGCCTCTTTTTGCCTTCTTCACAGCTCTCCCTGACTGACCTGTGATCACTGTGCCAACCTCAGAGGCACCATGTCCCCCTCCTTGTATTGCCCTGTGCCTCAGAACCATGCCTGCCCTGCTGCTCTGGTGTGGGGTGAGCTCAGTGACTCTGGGGGAGAGGTCTGTGGCGGGGTGAGAGGCACTGGCTTGCCTGAGCCACTGAGCAGTGTGAAGCCCCTGGTGTCCACATGTGACCTTTAACTGAGCGCTGGGGACACTGGTGGGCACCAACACAGTGGCTTTGCCCCTCAGACCAATGCACGGGGTCATGCGGATTCCCAAAGGGGGAACGTTAAATCTTTGAACAATAAAAAAGAACAGTGGAAAAAAAAATACACGAAGAAACCAAAAAGAACAAAAATTAAACTTCTGTGGAGATGCTCAGAGATGAGATACGGAGAATGATATGTGACCACGATGGAGGGAGGGAGTCTTTATTCAGTGGGAGGTGCATCCCCAAGCACACACATGGGTATTACGGAGATGGACTCGGCCCTGGGTCTCCACGTGGGACCTTAAGAAAACACACCCACTTCTTCTCCTGGGTGAGCTTCCTAGCAGCAGAGAGGAGAAGCTGGTTTTTCAGGAGAGTTTTTAAAATGTCACTGAACTATAGTGACCGACAGGAGGGCCAAGCATTTAGAATGTACTGTTAGGTTGACTCAGTGCTAATTTACTGAGTCTCCTGGACTGGGCAGCCTGAGAGAGGCCTGCCCCTCTCCTTCCACTGTACCAACCATACCCAGGGAAGGTGGGGGGACTTGTGCTTCACAGCAGCAGCTTCCAACCCGCCCCGTGGATTGATGCTCACAGTGATTACCTGGGTTGGACCACAACCCCCAAGACCCAGAGGCTCTGTGCTGATCTGTGACAAGCCCCCTGAAACAGGGAAGCACCCCAATTGGGAGACACACACCTTTCAAAGCTGGCGTGAATTGGCACATCACAGCTTGGCCGTGTCCACAGAGACAGCAGAAGGTGCTGGTCATAACACCAGGACCAAAGTGTCTCCCTGAACATGCATCGGTCCCAGAAAATATCCAACAAATTCAACTTTTTTCCAATGCATGGGTAGCAGTGTGACTTAATTTGCCTATCATGTCAGCCAGACACTCAGGTGAATCACTGTGGTCTGGCTCTCTTAACAGGGGGCACTTAAATACTTCAATGCAAGCAAAGCCATCTACTTATTGAAAGGTGGAGGAGGAGCACAGAGTTAGAATGAGGGGGGCACGTGGGGATTTTAATAATCTGATGCAAGCTTGAGAAGATACTCAGAATTCTCCTCTGCTACGTCATTTTTACGTATGAACAAAAAAATTGCCACAAGTAGCAGATAAGCAGAGACCTCTCTGTAAACCTAGCAGGGTGCTCTTTAAAAAATAGTATTTAAAGAAAGATCTTTTAAATCCTTTTTACTGGTCTGAACAAAGGGGGCGAACTCCTTATGATGTGGCATAGACATATTCTGCGAGTGGTCGGATATCTGGAGGGAAAGCTTTTTCCAATTGCAAAACCTTCCTCTTTCACACAGAATCCTCACTTGGTGGCTGTGGCCATGGTGGTCCTGACAGGTTCTTCCAAAGGGGGCACTGATCATTTTCATAGGAACTTGGCTTTGAAGGACATTTAATTTTTTTGTGTTCAAGTTCCTAACAGAGCAAGAGAAGAGTCAGTGCTGGGAGAAGCAAGGAGACAAAGGTGGAGGATGCAGAATTGCCTCCCAAAGTTGCTGCAGGTGTCAAGCAACGCGTCCCCAGAGGGAATGCGGTTGTTTAAAAAACAAATGTGGCAGTGGGGATGTCCCAGTGACGTCCGGGGTGACAAGTGTGACGACAGACACAGGAAGGGGAGGGGGGGAGAAGGAAAGAGAAGGTAGAGACAGAAACAGAGAAAAAAATAGATAAAAAGAAAAAAAAAATTAGGTCACCTATAAAAAATGCAGAATCAAAGGTTAATTCAACTTAGTAAATTAAATTGACAAAGGTTAGGGGAGATTTCAGTGCGGTTTCAATACCATAAGGCCAGTTCAGAAGCTCAGCAAGGCCAGAAGCAGCACAGCGGGGTTAATTTGGGGGTTAAGGGTCAGCAAGCAAATGAAATTAAAGTGAGAGAGCAGGAGCCTCCACAGTAAAGTACGAGAGTTTGATTAGGAGAGTGTTACCTTTCACTAAGGTGAAGCCTCTCAAGACACAGTCAGCGAGTGTATGGTCTCCTAGCGGCATGGTGGCAGAGATGCGCTGGATTGCCGCGCTGTGAGCAGCAAACCATGTGCAGGGATTGGGGACAGCCTGGTCTGCGTCGATGAAGACTTCTCCCCTGGTTGCACAAGTCCTCCACTATCCTGCTGCCTAAGGGGGTCTCGTTCTGCACCCTTCCTAACCTTCTGCCACCCAGCTGACCACAGAATTCAACCACAAACGTACATCTTGCAATCCAGAGGGGTTAGGATCCCAATTCAATGGCGAGGAGAGTCCAGCCAAGCACAGAGCCATTGCCATCTCAGACACCGCCCTTTCCACCTTTCAGCAGAAGAGCCACAGAACTCTTATGGGTCCCTAACCCTCTGTGGCTTCACTGGGAGCCTGGGCAATTCAGAAGAAGGACTCTACTGTCTCTGGAGCGTTACCTCTGGAGGACTAGGTCTACCCAGAATTGCTGTCTCTGACACACAACCAAAGCCCAGAAGCTGATGCTGCTGGCACGTGAACACAGCCTGTCCAAACGACCTACCTACTGAGGCTCCCCCCAGAGTCCATGTGCAGGAAGGAGTCTGTCTTGCTGCAAAGGGCTTTTACTCAAGCCTCATATCCCCTCATCTCCTAAGTGTTCCATAAAGGCTGGGAAGAGCCTGACATACCAGACTACAGACTTCAAGGAAAGACTGACCAAAGAACACAAAGAAAGAAGGGGCAGAGAAAAAGCAGGGCCACCTCCATTTGGACAGTAATGAGGACGTCCCCTGTAGCCACACCGTGTGCCTTGTCTGTAGCACCACCCATTTGACCAGTGGAGACACGACCACCCCAGCGTGTGCTGGAGAGCCTTCCTGACAACGCAGTGGGGACCAATTAGTGCTTCTGACCTATAGCTTAAAACTCACCTGTCCTCTTGCTGGAGGCGCCCCCCACCCCCCATCTACCAGGCACACGCATTCACGCACAGACAGCCATCGGGACCCACACGCTCATTTCGTTTTGTTGCTGTTAGACTAGCCCGCTTTGGCCCATACATCCTGCATCATAGTCAGCCCAGACCCTCTCACCTGTCTCTCCCTGGGAGGAGCAATCATGCCAGCCAAGCCAAGAGCTAGGCAAGCATGACAGAGGGCTGACCAAGGCCATTTCCTACCACACTCGGACATGGCACAGTGTACAAGGCCCCCCACCACGCTGAAGCTGTATACTCTAAGCCCACCTCCCCACCTGTGGTTGGCATTTGGCTGGTCTGGAACAGCACAGTGATGGTGAAGAGCTCATTCTTCTCTGAGGCCAATGAGGAGAGTGGCCATAGCGCCAAGGTAAGAAAGTACAGCTCTCACTTTATTCCCACACTTGAGTTGGTCCTGGATCCCTAGAGACAGATCTGCATCTCCTAGAACTGCTGCCATCACGGTCTCTAGCAGACTGGATTGCTTTCATCGATGGTGCTTCCAGCGTTTAATATCTCCACTTGTTCTACTTCAAGTGGTTCAATTTAATCTTTGTTTCAATTGAGAGGTCTTTGGCAGATAGGGTTTGTAACTGGGCACCATCTCTTCCTTCTCTTGGGGTTGCCAAAGAGAAGAGTTCTGGACCATGGTTATGCAGATAAAGCAAGCATTAAGTAGTAAGCTCTTAAGGATGGTTATCTGGTCCAAGTGTGAAGTGGCAGATGGCAGATAAGGTCTCAACAAAGGATCCTTACGCAACCAGCTTCCAAAGCTGGGCTGGAGCTGGGGCACTTCCCATCTGAAGGGTCCAAGGGACTGGTTAGCATCAGTCCTTTAAGGCCAAATGAGACAGGACCTTTTCCCCAGGATGCTTGGCCAAGCCTTGCTGGGGGTCCAGTACATCTCAACCCATTACACAGATAGGTACAAGGCAAAACTAAGCTTTGCGTGGGCAACCAATCATGAGGATGGCTGTAAGCAAGCGAGTCGTCAGGGCTGTTCAGGCACATTAGGAGGTGCAGCACTTGTGCATTAATTCAAAGCGGAAAACTAACAGAGAGCAGAGGCGGCCATACCTGGGATGGCTGTGGGCTGGGCCGAGGTCCTGAACACAAAATGAGCCGCCTTGGATTTTCCTTGCTGGTTCTCAGCCACCACGTAGACCTCGTACTCAGCATTCCAGTCGAGGGACTTGAGCATGACATGGTCAATGCTAGACGGGAGCCTGATCTCAGGTTTCCACTCGGCGGACAGCTGGGAGAGACCGGCAAGAAGGATACAAGCCATCAGAAAGCATCAGAGGAAAAGGTGGGGAGGACCAGTTACCAGGCAGAACTCAGGGCACTCAATAACTGCGGGTGCAAAACTCATAAAAATCAGGAGTGCTGATAGGACATGGTCTTTATTCTTCACCAGCCTGCAAAATCCTTACACAGGTCAGGAGGAAAGTTTGCATGTTTGCAAACACAAACAGCAGCAGAAGCCAGGGAGGCATTGGGCCAAGCCCTTCCATGTCCCATCACCCTTAGGGCATTAGGGACACGGCACCACCCCTGTCCCCCAGGGTACATGCTCGAATACCGGACACGTAAGTAGAAGGATACCCGAGAGCAGTAACAGAACACATCTGCTCCCGGTTATTTCAGAATGCTGCTCACATTCACACACGTGCCTCACCTCCCTGACATGCCAACACCGCAGAGTCCAGTTTCATTGAAAATAAAAACTGTCATTTGTTGAGCACCTACTATGTGCCAGGCACTGTACTAAGGGCTTTCCACACGTTTTCTTAGTGTGTCTCTATAAGTGGCCTGGGGGTGGGGAGTTTGTCAGGCTCTTATTAAACCGATGAAAAGAACTGAGAAAGAAGTTAGGTGGTGAGCCTGGAGTCGCACCTGAGACCGTCTGGACCTCACAGCTGGGAACTTTCATTTTTTACTTCTAAATTGTATAAGTGAGAATAATATTTTGAAATCTGACACAGAATAGATGTACATCTTTCCAGGGCACATGTGATAATTGAATACAATTTATACAATTTGTAAAGATCACATTGGTTTAATTTGGATTGCCATCACCTGAAATATTTGTTTTTTTCTTTATGCCAGAAACATCTGAACCATTCTCTCCTAGCTATTTTGAAATATGCCAGAGATGGCTGTAAACGATGGTCGCCCTACTGAGCTATTGCACACTAGACTCAGGCGTGTTCAGTCTGCTAGGGGATACCCAAGAGGAGTTACGAGGACCTTCTGACTAGCCCACGTATGTGCACAGTACTACCCATGCAGATTATGTGAGGACTTTTTGCTTATCTGGGGTGGGCAGATATCACAAAAATTATACACGGACATTCTTTTTTTTGGCTCACCTGCTTTTGTCAGTGTTTGTGTATTTAATGTGTGACCTAAGATAATTCTTCTTTCAATGGGGTCCAGAGAAGCCCAAAAGTTGGACACCCCATAGTAGGTCTAACTTCTTCCATCCCACTGTGGATTTGCTCCCCTAATCAGCCTCTCTTCATCCCTCATCACTTATGATCTTTCCTTTTCACAGTAGAGAGCTCAACAAACTCCCACTGAAACGAATTAATTTTTTTTTTTTTTGCAGTTTTTGGCCGGGGCTGGGTTTGAACCTGCCACTTCCGGTAGATGGGGCTGGGGCCCTACTCCTTTGAGCCACAGGTGCTGCACCGAACTGCGTTAGATGTTTCTATTCCATGCAGTGTGGCTGGTCTCTAGCTGAAGAGGAGGAGCCACGGCAGGGGTTAATTTCTGCTCAGAGGCCCCCAAGGAAGGCTACTCTCATCTCAGCAGGGCCTTGCCCACGACGCATCACAGGCCTGAAGCCAGACTGACGGGTGTCCACTTTTTCTCATTGAATATTTCTTCTGGTTATAACTGACACATTCACCAACCTGTCTGCATTGGGTGGGAGTTTATAAAGCCGTTGTTAGGTGGCCACCTCCCTAACAAAACAGCTGTGAAAGAAGTTCTGCTGACTTCAGAGCAATCTATAGCCGGTCTCATAATCGCACAGCCCACCTCTTCAGATCTTTGGCCTTTACACAGGGCATATGCCCTGAGGTCTGTGCTGGCCACACAGGAAGGCTTGGCAAATGTTTACTCCACGGCAGGCTGTTCCATGGAGGAGCAGAACATGGCAGCAACGCCACCTGGAAGGTGGCAGGCCCGTGGCTGAGGCTGGGTGTGGAGGAATTAAGTATCTTCTAGCAAAGCAGTCTTCCCATGCAAGAGAGTTTGTATTCCCTGATGAGCTGGCTTTAGGGATATGACAGTGTTCATGACGTGGCCAGTGAGTATTCTAGGGCAATCCTAGAGAGGGGAATACTAGTTTCCTCAGAGTCTAACCAGGAAGCCCGGGCTAGGCTGCAAGTTAGTTTGTGTCTACGTCACTCTGAGGCCCCACTTTGAAACAAAGCGACTGAACTGTCTGTGTTTTCTCTCCTTTCTCAGCAATCATCATTATAAAAGAGACAACCAGAATAAAAAACAAATATCTCAGGAAGCCAATATTAGGTTACAGAGTACATACCCGTAACATATAATACTACTACTTAGCAAAATGAAGTTTTTGATGTGTGAGAAGATGGTTGTTGACATGGGATCTATCTCAGTGCGGTGCCCCGGTTGTGCCCGCCACAGCCACAGTGGCTCTTAAGACAAAGTGATGTCTGAGGCGGCCTCGTATAGGACATAGCTCCAGCCCAGGCTTTGTCTCAGCAGCCACTATAGTTACTATTTATAAAGGTCTCTAAGCACATTTCTGATTGAGTCTTTATACATATTACAACTAATCTTTCCAACAACTTGATAAGCTATTTTATCTCCATTTTGCAGATTAAGAAGCTGAGGTTCTGGAAGATTGGTGACCAATTTGGGTCCCATGCTGGTAAGTGGTAAAGTTGGGATTGGACGCCCTGTCTGGCTCTAAAACCCATGTTCTATCCACCGAGCCACACTGGCATGACAATGGTCCAAGGTATCCCGCCCTACGGTGCCACCCATGTCCATTGGGGTGTTAAGGGCCACTTGGGGAACCCTTGTATCCCACTACACGGTGAGAAGCCACAGGTACATCCATTCAGGGCTACCTCTGGGCTGAGCTGTAGGGAAGTCAGCTGAGGGCTGCTTAGAAATTAAGTGGCAATGAGGGCTGGGTAGAGTGACCAGTCCAGCCATCCACTGCGAAAGATGCTGATAGGGCACCAGTCTGGACTGACTCTCCTGCCCAGCTGATTACAGACCCAAACATCCTTCATCGGAGCTGATCACCAGGCAGAGAGAGAGTAAATCAACTCCCTGGAAAAAACCTTTCTGGGGCTGTTTGAAGAAAGAAAACTGCTCTCTGCTTCATTCCTTTTTACTACTAAGAAGCCCTAGCGAGAGGCTGTTCCCAGGGCTCAGACACTGCCTCTCAGTCTCTCAGCAGTGAGTTGTGGTTGGAGATGGTCAAGCTCTAAAACTGAGAAGGCAGAGTGTGATTCTCAGTCTGGCGCTGGGGACGCTAACTCCTGGTGGGTAAACCAGCAGGAAAAGGCTGAACGTCAGCTTGCAAGCAGGACTGGGGCAGCTCAGGGGCCAGGCTCAGGGCAGATCAGGGAAGTGTAAGTGTTTCAGGACCTCAGGCAGCTTCAGGCAGGGGCAAGAGCCCCGTCTCAGTCAGACAGACCTGGATTCAGCACTGTGCTCCCCATTGTGAGAGGCCGGGGGAGGGGGTTTACCGATCTCCATTATACCTCAGTTTCTTCATCAGTGAAGTCCCAAGGCCTACTTCATAGGGTCCCTGTGCACAGACTTTACCAAAGGTAGTGCTGTTTAGATATTAGGACATCTGCAAAAAGTACTCGCGAATGGCAGAAAAGTTCAGGAAACAGAAAAACCAATTGTGGGTTTGTCGCCACCATCAGCATCTCAGAGCTTTTCAAACGGTCCCAGTGTGGACAGGGCCTAACAACTCAAAGATGGTCTTGGAATTTAAAACCCTGACCGGGTCCATGAGCCCCTGTAAGATGCAGAGGGAGACCCTGTCCCACTGGGCTTTGCAAGTTGCTATTCTGACAGGAGAAGCATCAGGGTCGCAGGGTAGAGAGGTGCCACTCACCGCTCTGTACTTGACCAGATAGTGCCTGATGGGTGAGCCGCCGTCGTCCTGCTTGATCAGTTTCACCTTGATGGAGTTGCCGTCCTCGCCCATCTGCCCTTCCAGCTTAGGTGCGCTGGGTTCTCCTGAAACAGCCAGTTGACCCACATGAACTTCTCCCCCCAGAAGTGTGCAAACCCAATCCATCAGCACGGGGTGTGTGGGGGGCGGGGCTGGACACTTTCCTTGCTTTCTCAGAAAGCCAAATGTTTAAAAAGTATGAAGTATAAAACTTTGAATTCCAGGTGGATGCCTCGGACGTAGGCCAAACTGAGAGCGACTTTTGGGAATATTCTGGGGAACAGCGTTGCTCTTAGCGGGGCCTCTCACCATCTGGGCATTTTAGGAATAGGCTTTTTCCCTGTCTATCTGGCTGGTTCTTGCAGTTTCCTCTGACTGCTCTTAGAACCGCACGTTTAATTTCTATGAACCTGACACATCTTGAGGAATAGCCTAAAATATGGGGAAAGGTGAAGCATTTGAATAGAAAACTCACACCCATAAAATTAATTTGCAAAACAGCCCAATTTCTCCCCTGGATACATCACTCACCCAGGGAGCTGGGGTCTGATCCCCTAATGGCAGTGCCTAAGGCTCTGTTCTTGAGACCAGCTTTGTCATGAATGACACTGTATTACTTAGATGTATTTAAAGCAAATAACAAGTTTCCAATTGTGATTAAATAAAGCGCAGGTTGCCAAAGGCAAGTTTCCTCTAAGTATCCCACGTCCATGGCTCAGCTGAGTGAGTGATAAGCCCTGGCACTTTAATGTAACAATCATTAAAGTCTTGTTCTTTGTGAGAGGAGAGAGGAAAATGTCTTCAGCATTTCTCCACAGGAAAGCAGTCACTGTGTCTCTATTTGCAGTGAACACTCAGCTTGCGGCCCTGTGAATACAAGGTTGGCCATGGACGATGACTTGTGTGTGACAGACTGCCCGGGCTGGGTTGGCTCTTCAGTTTAAGAGGCTTATACACTTTAAGAGAAACTATTACATTTAGTATGTGCTGAAGGCAGGGAGGTGACAGCACATCTGATATAAAAAGTCAAAATTCCAATTTAGCATACTTGGGAACCCTGCACTTCCTGGGAGGAGCTCTCTCTGGATCAATTTCAGAGGCTATAAAAGGTGGGTCACTTTCTAGGTGGGTCAGCCTGGACTGCTCTCTGAAAAACAGAATCTTAGACAAGTGACAGAAGAGCCATCAGAAACCCTGTCACCAGGCTTGGGACCTAATCACCCACAGCTGCCCCATCGGCCCTTTGCCATTTATAAGAGGCTGCTGGCAATGCCAGCGTCTAGCCTGACCTCCTTACTCAGCTGCCTTTGGGACCTCCTGCCTTTGTCACAAGGAGCAGAGAGAGAAAGCTAAGGTAGAGCCCTCCTGCTCGCGACGGAGGGACCAGCAGCGTTTGCATCACCTGGGAGCTTGTTAGAAGGGTAACAAGATCCCTTGGCGATCTGTGTGCACGTTTAGGTTTGAGAAGTAGCGGTAATGGGGACACACAAAAGCTGCAATGGAGAGGATACATCATCTTGACGTCTGAGGGACATTGAGGAAAAATTGTGCTTATTATTTGTTTTCTTGAATCAGTAATTAAGGAATCATAAAAACAGGAATAAAAAGATCAATGGCTTCAGGCAAAGACTCGTCCTGTTTCAAAGCCACTGTCTAGACACTGGCCCCACCTATTCAGTGAAAAATATTTAGAAATTTGGTTTAGACATGTCAAAGTATGTAGGCTTTTGACTTCTTTTGGACTGTCCCAAGGCTTGGCCAGTATGTCAAGTACATCTACATCTTTATAAATATCCAGCGCTAAAAAGCAGCTCAAAGTCGCCTATGTCTTAGAGAAGGGCAGGAGCTCTTTGTAGAGTCAGCAATGCTGAGCAGATGGAGGGAGGAGACATTTTACAGAGTCTGTTCTCTGACTGAATCAGGGTGACCAACTCATCCTTCAGCGCTGAAAGTTCAACATCCTGGGAAGCCCCTCAGTCCCAGGCTGACTGGAATGGTTGACGACCGGAGAGGGACATTAGTCATTCTAACTTTGTGGGAATCAAGAAACCGACTCTGTTGAGTGACCTTCGCCATTGGAAGGGAGGGATTTTCATCAGGGGACATCAGTGGCCTTTCCAACCTGCCCAGCAGGTGCAGGCCTCCACGTCATTCTGCGATGCCTCTGTGGGAGGCAGAGAGAGAGCAGTCTGGGGGCTGCACAGTCCCTATTCCTTCCTCTCAGAATTGAGCAGTGTGGGTCTCCAAGGCTGAACCCATACTGCAAAACACCATCTCTAAACTCTGTGCTGTGGGGCTCAGTTGTGTCAGCCAAGTCACTGCCTCAGTTTCCACATTCACAAAATATAAGCACTGGACCAAATGCTCTGTAGGGCCCCACAGCTCTCTGCCACATAGACACAGTGACTGCCAACTACATCTGCTAGTTGTCACGGCACTGTGTGGAACCGTGCACAAAAAATACGTGCTCTGCAACCAACCTAGGAACACGCGCCCCAAAGGCAACAGATCCACATCCCTAAGGCACAAAACCGTCAAATTTGCTTTACCAAGTCCTATCTTTGAAAAGAGACACCCTCCCCCCATAGCCAAGTCTCTTCAAAGACATAGGAACCAAAATCTCTCCAAGGAATCCCTGAAGAAACCAACAGTCCTACTGAAGGTTCTCTTTTTATCTTTGGATTTGTTTTGGAAAAAATATAATTAGAATCACAGAGAAACCACTGAAGACCGCATCACACTTAGCACATAATTCTCACATTTAGTGTGGTTAGAGCACTGTAATTTGCTGTCATTTTACCTGAGTAACTGCCATGCTACTCTGAGATGCGTGTGTTATTTTCCCATCGAATTTAGATTGTATTATGTAATATTTAGGGGTATCCTTTAGAGCGCTTTACCTAGGATTTATTGAACAAATGTGCACTGAATATCTACCAGGAGATCTAATAGGCACTGAAGTCTCAAAGGCAAAGAAGATGGCGTTTTGTTTACCAAATGAAAAAAATTTAGTTGTGATCAAGTCTTTTAAAAAATGGTAGGGCCCTTGGACAGAAATGTTATACTTCCTAGGACAGTATTTCTAAAGGAAGATCGTATTCTACTAACATGACAGAGATTTTCACCAACTTAGCTCTTAACCCACGGCAGGGGTTATTGCTTAATCAATCATCTATTCATTCTCAAATGTTTACTGTGGGCTCTTTTTCTTAAAGAGTAGAAATGGGGTTAAAGGAACTTTCCTAAGGCTTCTGCATAAGGTAGCCAGAGAAATTGGGCCTTGTATTCAAGAGGTTTCTCTGCTTTATCGAACACATTAGCAGAAGAAATGATTTATGGGGGCCCAAGTTGCTCTGAGACGGCTGCTCTGATTGAAGCCATTATGGGTAATTTCGGCAAAAACCAATATTGTAATTATTTATAAACGTTGGTTTGCAATTCAGCAGCAAGCGGCAGGTTGCTTGGAGATGACCCCTGGGGTTAATTATACCCTTTGAGTTTAGCTTCAGCCATGAGTTACATTTTTTCCCCAAAATATTTTCTGTAAAGACTAAAACAGCAGAACCTTAAAAATAAACCTTGCCAAGGACAGATATAAAATATCGGGCAGATCTGGTATTTTTTAGCAAAATGAAAATCAGAAATGCAAGAAAAAAAAAAGAACATATTACAGAGGCTACATACAGCCAGATATATCCTAGGCAGGTCCTATGAAATTCGCCCTTAGAAACCATAATTGAAATGTATGTTATGGGCCATGCAGATGGCAGGGTCTTTCTTTGTAATTACTGTGCTACTGTGTCCTGTAATCTGAGTCCGCTTCGTGCCCTTCCGCTCATCTGCAGAAACCCTAGGGGTTAGAAAACTGCTGCTGGGTGTCTGAATTGCACAACAAAAATCAGAGCCAGTCCAGGGCGCTTGGACAGCATTTGTGAATTTTAGAAGGAAAACAATATTCTACTTCTCGCTCCAAGGAGCCCAAGCTTCATGAATTAGTGGTGTGGCTTCTGAATGAAGTGCTGAGGTGTCAAACAGCCACCCCCAAGAAAGCCTCCACCTGCATTCTCTGTTCATCCACTGCTTCCTCTCTGGAGGGATCTGCCCAAGGTTTTGGGTGTCTGAGTATAAACCAGAGGTGCATGTAAGGCTTGCATTAAAATCTTTTATTTTCCTACAGTCCCAGAAATTTAGGAGGCCAAGGTGGGAGAATTGCTTAAGTCCAGGAGTTCAAGATCAGCCTAGGTAAAATTAAGTCCCTCTCATCTCTAACAAAAAAAAAAAATTAGCTAGGTGTGCTGGTGCATGCCTGTAGTCCCAGCTATTCAGGAGGCTGAGGCAGACGGATTCCTTGGGCCCCAGAATTCTAGGCAGCAGTGAGTTATGAAAGCTCTGGCCACTGTACTCCAACCTGGGCCACAGAGACAGAGTTGCAACCTCGTCTCTTTGATTTTTTTTTTTTTTACAGCTTATACTTTCACTATCAAATAGCATTGTCTGGCTTTAAAAATACCATTCATTTTGTTTATCTAATTCCTGTTTCTTCCTTTGGTTCCTTATTTCTTACCAGCACTGGGTATACCTTCTTTTTAAAAAAAACACAAAAAGGATTTTATTTAGGAAGAGCAAAGAGAAAGTTTATAGTACTTCCAAGAGAGTTGGAAGTGGGTCCCTCTCATGAAGGAGAAAGGGTAAGAGAGATGGTGTATACTTTTCTATTATTTGCTTTTTAAAAGTCCAAAATGTATAATTTAGCTATTCAAATAGAAAGCCTATTCAATTTTTCCAACTCCAGAACATTACAATTACTTTCAGAGGTTGGAAGTTTGGTCCTCAGGGAACCTGCCAATTACCTTGCGGGATCAGGATACAGAACAGAGAGTTAGTAGATCACTGATTCTCCTCCTAAGAAGGAGGTCCAAAAAAAGGAACCTGGTGTGATCCACGTTTCGGGCATTCTTGGGCCCTCAGGAATCCGGGATGCCTCTCCTGGTGGCCTCCCTGGCTGTTCTAAGAATGCTGAGTGGCCTTCTGACAGTGTAAAGATGAGTATTGCCTGGACTTAACATTGCTCCTTCAGAATCAGGTCTTTGGATAAAGTGGTCTCTTTCCCCTGAGCTCTTTTCTCGTCACTGTAACAGATTTATTGTGCTAGGGTGACCACAGCCTAGACCCTGGCTCCAGAGAATGTGAGGTTACAGAAGCGTCCAGTTCCCTGGCTTTTACGGAAAGAGCTCAGCTCTCTGCAGCCACGCCCACTCATCTCTCTGCGGCCACGCCCACCCAGCTTTCCTCGGCCACGCCCACTCATCTCTCTGCGGCCACGCCCACTGGGCATCTGGCCTGTCAATCCTTTTCCGCACCACTTTTTTAGGAATTCTGAATGTGAGTGTTGGGGTGGGTGGTGAACAGCAGCGCAGAGTACAAATTAAACAGCAGCGAATGTGCTCTGACAGACAGAACCACAAAAATACCAAATCCCTTCTCACGGGTGTCATGAAAACACCAACAGATTAATTGATCAATTATCTTTGTCTCACTATCCTAAAAAGAAAATATGACCACGAAGGTACGGCTTGTGGTTATGGGGCTGATCCAGGCTCAGGAAGTTATGACAGAAATAACCGTTATCACCAACAATTAACTTGGCTCCTGCCTCCCAGCCCGCAGTGGGTGGGGGGAGGCTGTGTGCATCTTCAACACGATTTCATGGACATTAGATTAGTTATGAAGAGGAATGAGGATCCTGGGATGTTTCAGTGCTCCTCCTGGTAAACCCTAGGAGAACTGGGTTCCAGCAAGGGCTCTCGGTCCCTGCCCAGGGGATTCTGGCTAAGACACATCGCTGCCTTCTTCTTCAGCTCCTTCCTGCTAACTTCCTACCCTGGGAATGCCAAGTTCAGGGAATCCTTAGAAATGCAGGCAATGGGAGCAGAAACCCTGGTGAAAAGTCTATGTCAACCCCAGAGGTCGAGGCAATCCAGACACACAGCTGTAAAAAATAAAGGAGGGAGTGGAAGGGGTGGTTAGTGATGTTTTCAATCTAAGAAGGAAGAGTGGGTGTTAAAGAGCTTTAGTTCATCAGAGTCAGCATTTCCTAGTACGAGTCAGTGTCAGTAGCTAAAGAAAAAAAAACCATGTCATTATGAATGGGGAGGGGGAGCCATGCTCCAACATGCGACACGCAGACAGAGGGGTGCGAGGGCTGCTTGGCACACACATGCTGCGGGCAGAGAGGCAGGGGCGGTCCCATTTACACACAGTCCACAGGAACCAACAGACAAGGCCACAGTTCTGTGGATTCACCGGAGGAAGCCCTGTGGCCAGCTGCATGATACCATGATACAAACATTTCCATCAAGGGGCATGTCAGCTCACACCTAACTCACGCCCCCCATCCTGGGACAGACACCTACCCTAATTTCTCCTGAAGCTCTACCTGCAAAGCTCTGGACTTGGGAGCCAAGGTCTGCAGAGGACAGTGCCCAGTCCCCTCTCCAACCGCCTTCCGAGAGGCCTTACTTCATTTGGTGCTGCCGGATAAGTAAACACTGCCCAACTGAACATCAGGTGGACAGAGGATCCAGCATATGTTAAACCCATCTGGGGGTGGGGACAGGGAATAGTGGATTCCATCAACTGTTGGGTGTACAACCCACTGACGGGACAGTCTCCCAGATCATTTCAACCTTTCAGTGTAGGCTTCAGTCCTTACGAATGCCCAGGAAAAGGAGGCGGGAACTGCCCTTAAGTAAGATTTATTTCTCTCCCCCACAAATTTTAGTGGCTCCGACCTCTCCGTTCCCTTAAACTTTATTGCTAACGGCCATTTCCTGCAGCTCGCAGCTCACCTGGAGTAACAAGTGCTGCGCCCGCCCTCTGGCAGGAGAGGGGCTGCCAGGGATGAGAATGGGGTGAGAGGAGGGGTAATCATAGCTTTGGAATTCCACAAAGCTCTCAGTGATTTTCTTTAGACCTGGCCACATTTCTTACTGACAGCCAAGACCACTGTGAAGGAGTGTTTCTAAGGCAACTGAAGAAAACATCTTCAAACATTTCTTGCCTGGCTTAAAATGTCTGGAGGAGATGGCTCTTCAGAGGAGTAAATTAGTTTCTAACTTGTTAACACCGAGATTTGCCTCCTTCTGAATTGTAACATCGTACAGGAATGGCCAGATTTCTTTACAGAAAAGAAACTGACAAGTTTTAAGTCTAATATCGGCAACTGCTCACACTTAAGATTTCCTGGGGAAGGAGCAGATCTTTTCCAGAACATCAGCCACTGAGCAGTCAGTACAAGTCTGCCAAAATTCTGCCTTTTCTGAGGGTCATCCTTAGGGAAATAATGAAACCAAAGTCCTATGGGTGGGACTTAGGAAATCTTAGGCTCCTGATGTTCTCTACCCTAAGACTCATACATAGAGTAAAATAATTTTTTGTTTGTTTTTTGCAGTTTTTTTTTTGGCCGGGGCCAGATTTGAACCCATCACCTCTGGTATATGGGGCCGGCGCCCTGCTCCTTTTAGCCACAGGCACCACCCAGTTAAGATAATTTTCTTTAAGGTCAAATTTATTAGCACGCTCTGTGTCTTCAGCTCTGGGAACATTCTCACTTTATTTCGTATCACGTAAGTATCCAGCATCTCCGTTTTGGAAATGCGGGCAGCTCAGGTGCTAGTCCGGGAGTCTGGCTGTAAATGGGACTACATTATGGCTGGGCTGCCACACCTGCAAGGCTGAGGTCCTCAGAGGTGGCAAATGCGGAGGGTGAAGGAGAGAGATCAGACACGGCTAACACCACGTGAGCGGCATGGAATCAAAGCACGGACCAGGAACAAGGAACATGCGAGACGGATGTTGATGGTTTTGACCTTGTGGATGTCGCCCAGTCCATTCTCAGAGAAGTGAGGTCACACAGGGACCCCTTGCATGCATGGGCACGTGGGGGGTTATTGATGTTAGTTTCGCTTTTCCGGTCAATACAGCCCGTGCATGTTTCAGGATGTGAAGTGATAAATTTCAGTTAGGAGCAAACAGAATGTATATGACTCCGCGGGGCAGGTTCTGAGGAGGTGTTTGATTTTGGAGGCGGAAAGCCGTGAGCAGAGGCTTCCTTTTCTCTTTATGGTAAGCAAGAAATGCTTTAACAAGGTTGTGACAGTCACAATATTAACTAATTATTTTGTCACCGCTGTGTGCTTAATTAGGCTATAATTTTATTTCCTTTGCTGCAAGGGTCACTCAGGTGCTTCTTGATTACACGGAGATCTCCAGTTATGGTAATTGCTAACTCACTTTTGCTTTGACTTTATCCCCCTCTGCCCGGGGGGGGGGGGGGGGAAGGGCCACTCTTAAAAAGTGACATCTCCGTAATCACAGCCAAACGGCTCTAATCCAAATTCTTAAATCTCTTTTTAATTTTTTCCAGAAGTCCTCAATTTGCATGAATTTTGTGAGGCATTCTCATTGGCTGTGAACAAAGGAGAATTTTGCAAATGGTAGATTTCTCTCTGTAACCATTTCTAGGTTGTAAACATTTTCATGGGAATGAGACTTGTTTTAGAACAACTATGGATCTTTAGATTAGAACTGCTGGAGAACGTTAAATAACAGTGTCATAAAGTTAATTTACCAAACACCTTTCCCGGAAATAATTTTCATGAACCATCCAGTACAAGTTCAAGTTTTCAAACTGTGCAGCAGCTAATGGGTTTGTCTATCGACAGCAGTTTGTGTGACCACATTTCTCGAAGCCAAATATTAAACCAAAGGCTGTCATAATATCAAATTGTCATGTCAAGGTTTGCAGGGAATGATGAATTCTGGATGTGAATTGAGGACAAGAGGAAATTTCTCAAATGGTTTTGCTTAAGAAATCTGAGACGGGAAGAAATGAATGGGCCCCAAGTGCCAGGCTGTGGTCCCAGATTGATTTCACTAATCAGAACAAAGAGTTTTACCTTCTGTTCACCAGCGTGGACGACATCATCAGCACCATGCAAGCCACATGACAAAGTCACATGATACGCACGCACATGATTGGTTGAAAGGAAAGTGGAGGAGGTCACATGGAAAATACAAAAAAATTAAAAACTGATGTAAACAATGGGCAGGGAGAAAAATCAACAACAAAATCACAGACTAAATAAAAGGAGAAATCAAATTAAATTAGCAGCATATATAGGAAACACTGGGAGGACAGTGAAACTGCCCGGAAATAGAAGAATAATAAATTGTAAAGAGCATTTGGTTAACAACACCAACAAGCATTAGCTACAGCTGCAACACTGCATATTAATACCGCATCAGGGAGCGTGTAAACTTGTTTGAAATGGGGTGGTGTTGCTGTCAGGACTCAGATGTCAGAGTCAATCCAGGAGACTGTTAAAGGAAAAGAGAAAAGCAAGTTATTATTCAGATTCCAGAAATGTCTTGGCGTCCTTGGGAGACAAGGGCAGTGAAACAGAACATGGGCCATCCAGGTCATTGAGAACAAGTCTTGAGATTTTTAAGGTAAAGATTGTGTGCACTGGAAGAATAAAGGATTGGGTTAAATCATGAAAAGCCATTGCACGTCATGAGGAGGGAGCCTGAGCTGAATGAGGCTGGTGGACACGGGTCAGGGAAGGCGGCTTCGAGCATCTTATCTCACTCCTCTGTCCACATGATCATATTATTCCTGACACCCCCAAAAGCCTTCCCACAGTCAAGACCCACATGAAGAAAGAGGCTAGTGCAGACCAGGGAACAGGTTTCCTTTGGTGGCTGCTATTGTGCCCATGGCCCAGTGAGCTGAGCACAGAACAGAAACAAATGCTTGGCCATTTGTGGCCAAAGTTGTATCTTCAGACTTGTGGCTGCACTGATAAGACACGAATTTGAGATGTAAAACACCACCACCCACAACAAAATTAGGACTTATCTATATTCCTTTTGGTCTTATGTTATACCTAACATCCATGGAGTAACCCTGCCATTTAACCCAAATGTTAAAAGATGTTTTGGGTTTCCCACCTTAACACTTTTACAAGCCAAAGGAAGTTCTGGTTGTTGTCAATGGAGGCTAAGGGAGAAGAGGACAGAGAAGGGAGGAGAAGGTATCTTTCTGCCCAAAGCACACTGCTGATTTAAAACAATTCGAGAGTTCTTTAACCAAGTCATACATTCCCATGCTGCTGAGAGCTGGCGAGTAGACACCTCTTACTCTCTGACGTTACACAGATCCCAGCACATTCCTACCAAGGTGCCCTGCAGGGATTATATACAGCTGAGAGGTTTCTCTTTTGATATTGTTTATGACACCTTCATTCATTCATAATTATAAATAGATCAATGCACATCCATGCAAATACACACACATATGCAAAACCAGGAGATCCTTCTTTTCAACCTTTTGGATTGATGATCAGGGATTTTTGCATGCTCACGGCTACTCTGCTATTAGTTCACTGCACTTCACATGTGCTACATTTGTCTTACTGGTGAGGACTCTTCTCCTGCTAAATATGGGCTGCTGCTCAATTTTGACTGTGTTTCCTTTATCTCAGTATCCACTGGGACCCAAAATTTGGGTCAGTAGTCAAGTGGTTTGCAGGAAAATGACTCAAAGTTTCTTCCCTTCGGATGTCACAATGAAGCATTTTATCCGTGGGCAGAAATATCTGAGGTTTAAAAGCTACAGAAATGTCAGGGGTGAAACACCTAATTCCTTTTTCAGGGAAGATCTGGAACCAAGATCTTGTTTCACTAACAGAAGAGATCAACACACAGTGAGATCCCTTAAATGTGTCAGGTTGTGCAAACGCATTAGGTAGCGATCTCCTACTGCGCCTGGACACACATCCCACCAAGCTGGAGAAGGACAGGAGCAGGCTGTGGAAGAGGAAAGGGGGCTGTTAGCCGAATTCCCTTTCTAAATGCAAAGGGCCCCATTATCTGAATTAAAGCCCTGTGAGCACAGCCAATTGTCACCGGCTCTGCTCTGCTGACAAAAATGCAACCTGAAAAGCATCAGGAATTAAAATTCATCACAGCACGCACACGCACACACACACATACATGGAAGGAACACCAAGAGAGCAGCCTCTGAGCTGTTTTCTGCAGTCGAAAAAAGAACCATTTCATGCAACACGCAGAACCAGGAAACTCTTTTCTTCTCTGTTCAATTATGTATCAGAAGCCTTGGCCCAGGGAGCCGGAGCTCCACTTTGCATACCTGCTTTCTGCCTTCTCGCATGTCATTTGTGTGTGCGTGTGCACCCAGAAATATCACAAAATCGAAACTTCCCTTGCAGCTCCGGTGCCTGGGCACTATCAGCATGCACACAGATTCAGGTTGATGCGTTGGGGGAGTAAGGCCCTCGACACACATCTTACTTCATTGGAGCATAATAAAGCCCAGCTTGGAACACGCTGCAGTACTGGTTCTATGCAATGCTCTCCACGGAAAAAGCAGAGTCTGGCTCTCGACTTTATGGTCAAGAGATGAATTCCAGCACTTTCCTCTGGACTCTCAACCCACAGAGGGCCTGGGCTGTGTGTCTTTGGGCCATCGTTTTTCCAGCACTGAGGTGGAAGCCTGACAGGAGACAGGAGGAGGGAGCTCTTGCCTTCCCCTCTGCTGTGTGTACACAGAGACAAAGGAGGCTCGCTCCTGGGAAGCAGGGATTCCTTCCCTATCTGCAGCACCCTCTACCTTTCCCAAGCAGCCGTTTTCTCCGGCTTCTTCCCTCGCTACTTCTGTATTTGCATGTCTGTGCGCATGCGTGCATGCGTGTCTGTGCGCGCGCGTGCGTGCATGCGTGTGTGTGTGTGTGTGTGTGTGTGTGTGAGATTTTGGAAGAAAGGGACATCAAAAGCTAGAAAGGAGACGCTGTTCTGTTGTCTCCTCCTTTTCTATTTTTAACAGGACAATTTGCCTTCCTCATGCAAGAGAATTCTTCACATGGTCACCCCTGTCCTTTTGGTGATGCTGGGTTTGCGCTCTGGGCCAAGCAGACAGCATGCTTAGGAAACCACACCAGGCTAGCAGTCTCCATGCACTCACAACTGTTACTTCTACTAAAAGGGAAAGCTGTAACCCAGAAGTCAGCTCTACAACAAGCAGCGGTCAGAGGTCTGGCCGGGAGCGGCTCAGCTCTGTACTCACTAGCCGGTTCTGTGGCTGCAAGGGCAGGAAGAGGCCAGGTTGCTATGGAAACAGGAAGGACAGAAAGGGCACAGAAGGGTGAAGGAGAGAGTGGAGACAAGTTATGTTCATGAATATATAGGTATATGTTCACGTGTGTATGTCACACACATATCTAAGCATCACTATGAAGAACAGACAGATGGGGAAGGAGGTATTTTCTCATTCCCTTCATCCTTGATTTATCAATATTAATATAAATATCTTAACGACATTAGATTTTGCTGACAAGTGATACCCATGGCAAGAAAGAACAGAACTCTTATTTATTCCTGCTGTTAGTTCCAGCTGCCTCCTGCTGCCCACTGTGGGTCTTGTCTTTCTTTCACACTTAATCTTTAATTTTAAGAAACACTTAAAAGGTAAGTGGAATCTATCCTTCACTCTAGAGACAAGAAATCTGAGATTTGGAAGGACAAGTGACCCATCTGAGGTCATGGAGCCATAGGCAGAAGGAGTGAAGGTGGGGCCTGAACCCAGGTCCATGTGGTTCCCTATCTGAGATTTGGGAGGACAAGTGACCCATCCCAGATCATGGAGCCACAGGCAGAAGGAGTGGAGGTGGGGCCTGAACTCAGGTCCATGTGGTTCCCAAGCTTGCTCCTGTCCTCCTCCTGCTGCAGGACCAGGCCTGGAGATGCACCGTAGGGGGCAGTGGGTGTGCAACCTCGTTAGACAGATGGAGACAGAGGGCTTTGGAGCTAGAGCTTGAGTCACCCCCTGAGATGCAGCTCAAATTGCAGGGGCTTCAGCTATTTTAAGGAGGGTAAAGCCCGCTGGGCAGCACCACTCTGCCCGCACACTCGCAGCTGTGCGCTGCTCTGGGCGGACGTCGCAGCTGCTCCCTGTACCTGCCCCAGCTATTGTCTCACTTTGATGATCCCCTCTGGAACGCTAGGGTTAAAAACTCCAAACAGTAGCAGAGCTAGAGCCCTCTCTATTCCTGAGGATTCAGGAGAACAACGGACAGGACAACAAAATAAAATAGGAATGGAAATGATCAAGGCTCAGCCGGGATGATGAGCTGGAGTCAGACCAGTAGACATTACTGCCTGCTTGGTGGCCCTGAAGCAGGGTGGGCAAAGTGCAGCTTGATAAACATTATAAGGTCTGTTGTTGCCCTTAGGGGGTGTGGGTGGAGGGTGACTATTTGCCCTATTTTAGAGGGGGAAAAAAACCAGGCTCCCTTGGGAAGGGTTAAATAGCTTCCCCTAAGCACCCACCGCCAGGCACATCTGCAGGAAGCCACTGTTTATTTTCCCACAGGTATTTACGAGAAATGTATGCATTTATGGATAAAGCAAAAGCTATAGGCCTCACCATCTGACTTCAATGTTTGAGTCCAACTGTGCCAATTAAAATGAAGGGTAAAAACACAGCACCCGAAGCATTTTTTATGACCCTGCCGAGCAGATTATTTTTCCTCAGTAAATTCCTTTGGCTTCTCCAAATACCAGCTTTGGTCCAGCCCACTCCAAATCCTGAGGATGGGGCCAGCTGTGGCCACCTTGGGGAACCTGTCTACAGGGTTTTCTATCCAGAGTAAAAAATACTTTCCACTTGCCCCCTGTTCTGGGGAGGCTGCCCCCATGAATCTGAGAGCCCCTATGCCTATTTCTCTTCTCACTGGGTTCTCTAAAACCCGATGCTGCTTTCTGCCGGCAGAGTCGAGGGCTCGCCTGGTGAAGGAGATACCATTAGGCAGACTGAGCTGCGGCTGTGGAAAGCAACCTGCAGAGAGACAGATGAAGAAAATGATACTCACTATCCGGGGGA